CCAGGCTTGTTGATTTCATTGTATTTTGTTAAGGTGTATAGCACCAGCGTACTTTTTAAAGTGAAAACTATGCAAAAAAAAAAAATAAATAAATAAATAAATAAATAAAAATAAAAATAAATAAATAAATAATAAAAAAAGATATATCCCCAGAAATGTCTTCCCTCCCCTATTCTTTCCACTTAGTTTTCCTTTCATCCCCTGCAGATAACCAAGTTTATTGTTTTTGGTTTATCCTTCCTATGTTGGCGTTTTGCAACACTAAGCATATATATGTATCTTATCTTATTATATGATCTTGTTTTTTACCCAAAAGTTAGCACACTATATATACTGTGTGGTTTTCTTTGTTGTTGCCTTTTTTTTTTTTTTTTTTTCCACTTTACAATATATCCTGCAATTCATTCCATTTCAGTTCGGGGGCCTTCCTTATTCATTTTTACAGCTGTGAAGCACTACTTGGGGTGGATGTAATACAATTTATTTAGCAATTCTTCTATATTTGGGCATTTAGGTTGATTAAAACACCTTGCAATTACCAATAATGTTGCAAATAAAAACCTTATGCAAATTTATTTTCCTGCTTTTGGACCTGTAGCATCAAATAAAGCCTTAGCAGATTTCTGGGTTAAGATGTAAATTCTTAGTGGATTTCTGGCTAAATGAACATTCATTTTATTAGATACTGCTAAATTTCTCTCCATTGTTATACTGTTTTTATTTCTATAAACATTGTATGAGTGACTGTTTTCCTACAGTTTTGCGAATGGTGTGTTTTATCAAGCTATTGGATTTCTTGCCAATCTAATGAGTGAGAAATGATATTTTAGTGTGGTTTTAAATTTGCACTGATCTTATGAATAGAATTGAACATCTTTTCATATGTTAAAAACATTTTTTGTGATTTTTTTTTTTTTTGATGTCCTTTGCTCATTTTTGGTCTACTCCCTACCAACTAAAAATAAAGTCTTCATATTTTAGTGCTGTTAGTCATTTATCTGTGATACATAAATCATTTTCCTTTTTTGTTTAAGTTTATTTATTTAATTTGAGAGAGAGAGAAAAAGAGCACAAGCAGGGGAGGGGCAGAGAAAGAGAGGAAGGGTGAGAATCCCAAGCAGGCTCTGCACTGTCAGTGCAGAGCCCAACCTGGGGCTCAATGACAGGAACCAAGAGATCATGACCTGAGCTGAAATCAAGAGTCCAACGCTTAACCGAGATGCCCCACATAACATGTTTTTCTTCCAATTCGTCCTATTCTTGTGATTTTGCTATTATACCATGATTTGAAATATTTTTGTTGTAAAATTTATTAATTTTGTTTTCAAATTGAGGCTGGATTTTGTATAATGGATCACTGTTTTTACACTCAGGTTATATAAGAATTTTTCTTTTAATATTCAAATAGATTTATATTTTTTACATTGTTGGATATATTAGGAATTTATTCTTATGTAGGATGTCAGAAAATGTTCTAACCTAAACTTTTCAAATGGCTATCCAGTTATTCTAACACCATCTATTAAAAGCCCTTTTCCTCAATGATATGAGACACTACCTTTTTAATGTACTAAATTTTTATATGTAATACATTGTGTCTCTGGACTTTCTATTTCATTCCATTAATCTTCTATCTACTCATGCATTAGTATGGTTTAGTAGGTGTGGCTGTGTGTTTTAATATCTGTTAAAATAAATTCTCCTTCCCTCATGAATCTTCTTTAACTGTATTATTATAACTATATTATATGTTGTTGTATGTTTAATGTTTCCACATGGACTTTAGTATCAACTTACCAAGCTATAGTAAAATAGTTTAACTTTTTATTGGGATAAGTTAAAATTTCCCTCAGTCAACCCTTAGTAGGCTGGAGCCCATCCTGTAATATATTCCTCAGAAAGAATTCAAGAATATGGTATTTCCTATGTTCCTACATGTTCAAAACTAGCTTTCTGTAGCTTTATTAGTTGAATGACCATTTGGCCCAATGTCCTTGAGTTACTTATAAAACTCCCACTGTAGCATTGATTTATATTTGTTCTTGAGAAGCATGCCGGGTGGACACATGTCATAGATCTGTCTAAACTCATAGAATGTACAGTGCCACAAGCGAACTGTAATGTAAACTATGGACTTTGAGTGATTATGTCACTCAGTGTAGGTTTATCAAATGTAACAAATGTACCACCCTGGCGAATGATGTCGCTAATGTGGATGGCTCTGCATGTATGGGACAATGAGTATATGGAAAATCTCTGTACCTTCCTTCTCAACTTTGTTGTCAACCTAAAACTTCTCTTTAAAAAAAAAGCCTGAATCATCATCATCATCATCATCATCATCCCTGGTAATTAACACCAGGATGGAGACAGATATTCCAGTGAGAACACTGTTAATAATCCAAGAGATGGTGATGGAGACTTAAATAAAGTTTTTAGGCAAGAATATAGCAAGAAGAATATTTTCAGATGCCTGATTGAACATCTCGCATATTTTATGCATTGATTATTTGGAAAAACTCATAGAATAAGTTAATGTTAGTAATGTATCTTAGGAGGTAACTGTACTTTCATATTTGATTTTCAAGTGACATTTCTTATGAATTATATACCACAATTAGAGAGAATCTTAGTGGTTCAAACTTTGTAACTGTAATCAGTCAACTTTAGTAGAGCTTGGAGAGAAGAAGATCTGGTAAAGTTCATCACGAATCTGAACAGTTCAGTTGTAAGCTGATTATCAGATTGCATGGGGCTTCTCTGTAGAGCTGCCTGACAGTTTCAGAACAAGTTGTGCCTGTCTTCAAATTCTAATCTGGCTTTTACTTCCTCCAATTCTTCCAACTTCATTCTAAATAAATGCTGGAGCTCCCAAAGTGCAATATAGAATGATGCTTGATAACATTTCATCAATTCCCTGCTTGGAGCCAGAGAGCTGGAGTAACTAAGTTTGGAGCCAGGCACAGTTTGCACAGACCTCTCTTGGTGAAGAGAACTGGAAAGTCAGACACTCTATGAGATTTTTTTCCTCTTTCTTATTTTTTCACTGCTGACTCAAATCAGTCTCTAATCATTTCACTTTGGCTTTCACCAGCACCTTCCTATTCTGTCCTATTATGTGTATGCACAGTCAATGAACAGGCACAGTAAAGTGTTTTGTATATAAAGACCTACTATAATGAATAAGAGAGAAAAAAAGGAACTGAGATTTTAATGTCCAATATAAGCAAAGATGTAATAGAACTGGAATGCCCATGGACATTGGCACTGGAAATTCTTTGCAAAAGCTGTTTTCAGAAGTTTCAAAAGAACTGTTTACTTGATGAATTTAATAAGCAATAATCATGGATGGTGTATGTGAATGCCGTCCTGCTGCTATTTGGATTTGGGGGTGGAGGGTTAATGGGAGTTTTCTGGCTCATAATAACACCATTATTTTTTGAGCATTTACTATGTGCCAGGCACTGTGCCAAGTCCTTTACATGTCTTTATTTTGTTCCTTATTTAATCTTACAACAACTTCATGTGATAGGTGTTACTACCTTTCCCTGTTTTACATATGAGGAAATTTAGCCTCAGAGGAGTTAAGTAATATTTTAACAATCACAAAAATGATAAGTAGCAGCAGTTGCATTTAAACCCAAGTCTCCCTGACCCCAGAACCCTGATCCTCTATGCTTAACTGCCAGTTAATATCTCAAAGTATTAAGAATTCTTTTCAAATTCTTCTGGAATCCATCATTCCACCGTTGCTTTGTAATTCACCTCTTCTGTCTACTGACAGAGTGCATTTACTAACTAGGTCACCATAGGTTTTTTTGTGTTTTTTTTTTCCTTTCTTTCCTTTCCCTAGCCCAATTTCTGGTGTTCTTGTTCATTTATTTTTTGGAGCAAGCAACAGTCACCTAACTGGTCTCCTTGCCTTGAGTCCCAAACTCTGCAATCCATTCTTCTTACAGCACCCAGAATTATCTTCAGCTTAAAACCCTCTATTGGTTCCTTTTTTTTTTTTATGTTTATTTTTGAGAGAGGGAGAGAGAAAGACAGGGAGAGGAGAGAGGGAGTGAGAGGATCCAAAACGGGCTCTGTGTTGACAACAGAGAGTGCAATGTGGGTCTTGAACTTACAAGCCCCAAGATCATGACCTGAGCCAAAGTCAGAAGCTTAACCAACTGAGCCACCAGGTGCCCCAGTTCCTTTCCTTTTCAAGGCAAAATATCTAAGCATTCTTGTATACAGAACCTTCATTCTCTTACTGACTTAGCTGAGAGTATCCAGCTCCCTCCCTGCTTTACTCTTGACATGCTTATCTGAGTATCTCTCAACACCTTTGTCTGAAGCTATTCCCTCTACTAGATATCCCTCTCACCACATCCCCCAAATCTTACAAATTCTAAAGGTTGAGCTCAAGTGTAGCTTTCTCTAACCCCTAGCCTATATTAAATGCACCTCTCCGCTCTCTTAATAGCCTGTGCTATACATTATCCCAAGCATTATTACCAGTTGAGTAGTTATGCCTCTGCTCATGTGTCTCTCCCATTGTAGGTTGGGCCATTCATCACTTTATCCACAATGGATAACTCCAGCTCCTTCATTTTTATAGAGACAGAGACACTAAGTAATTTTTCCAAGGTTGCACAGCTTATTAATTGCTGTGTGGAAGCTGAACAGTGTCCTGCTGAGGATGGACTATGGAATTATTTCAGGCCACATACTGTTAATTAATAGATTCTGCTTTATTTAACCTCTCTGAGCTGTGGCTTACTCGTGTGTAAAATATGGTTAATAGATCTATGCCAGAGTGTTGTTGAGAGAATAGAATCAGATGACATAATGTATGAAGCTGCCTACCAAGACCATTTGGGGACCTCGATCTTCTTTCTTTCCTTTGCAGGTGTATAAATAAAGCTCAGTTTTGCTGAGGTCATCCATGATTTCTGGGCATTTCTTTTCTGCTGAACCTTGAAGAGTAACAAAGCCTTCTTTCTCTTTGATTCTAGGTCTACTCTGTAGGTTCCCATTCATTCCTCATGCATAGCAGCAGAAGGGACACTGACAAGCACATCAGAGAGGGAATTGCTTGAAATAGATTCTGGGGGGGAAGACCCAGTATTTTTTTCTGCAAATGGTCCAGGTAAGACTGACTTATGGGCTAAGCCTGTTTCCCTCGGCTTCTATGACTCGGAGTCATTTCATTTCTCTCTGCCCCTTGGTATAAATGGGATTAAACAGACTAATTTGCCAAATAAAGGTGTTAAATACATTAATTAAAGGCTTTGGTAATTCACAGTATTTCACTGGTGGAGGGCTCACACAGAGTTCCAAGTACATTGTTCCATTACACTTTCTTTCTGCCTGTTCCGAATAGAGAGACAATTCTTGTCATTTTGGAGGCTCATCCTACCATTTGTACCTAGCAAGTATCTTGATCTCAATATATTTTGAAAGCAGGTTAGTTTTCTCCAATGGTGGAATTCATTATAAGTGTTCAAGGTTGGAATGACATGGAACACATACCACTATGGTCCTCTTAAACTTCATAGCCCTAACAAAAGCCAAACTTCCCAACTGTGGAATCAACTGTCTTTTTCCGTGGAGTTAATACTCTGGAAGGTATAACTTTTGGTGGAATTTCTGCAGAAATTCTGAAAAGAGCCAGCCAAGCTTAGAAAAAAAATAGGATTATGATTTCCATGGAGGAGTATGAACTTTCTTCTTCCTACATTAGGAGGAATAACAACTACAAAAGAAGAAAAGAAGAAGCTTGACCACCTGTGCCCTTATTCCCTTTCCTGGGAAAGCCAGAGGCAAGTGTCCTTGTCTACCACAAAACTTTTAAGCCGTCCCAAGTTTAACATGGGATAATTGAGAAAATCCTGGAGGCCCAACCCATACTAGGTCCTTGAGGTAAAAAAGAGAAGTTTGAAACTCAGTTCTTCCCCTCCAGAAGCTTACAATCAAGGTGATAGAAACATGGCATGAACATAATAAATCAATTAACACTTATGTGGAAGACTTTGCTAACTGCCACCAGTTCTGTCCAACTCTCTTTTAAAGGGGCTCTAGAGATGAGGGAGTGATCCCAACTGACATGGGAGAAAAGGGGTAGAGAATATATTTTTCTCATTAAGGGCAAATTCTGTTCAGATAATCTTTGACTTATAATGGGATTACATCCAGATAAACCCATCATAGGTTGAAAATATTGGAAGTCAAAAATGAATTTAATATGCCTAACCTACCCAGCATCATAGCTTAGTCTACCATACCTTAAATGTGCTCAGAACACTTACGTTAGCCTACAGCTGAGCAAAATCATCTAACACAAGCCTATTTTATAGTAAAGGTTGAAGATCTCATGTAATTTCTTGAATACTGTGCTGAGAGTGAAGAGCAATCCTTGTATATGTGTGAAAGTGTTGTCAATGGTTTGCTCTAGTGATCACCTGGCTGACTGGGAGGTGCAGTCACTGCCACTGCCCAGTATAATGCAAGCCCAAGAAAAGACCTGAATTCAAAATTCGAAGTATGATTTCTACTGAACAAGTACATCAGTCTTGTACCATTGTAAAGTCAAAAACCTGTAAGTTGAGCCATCATGAGTCAGGGACTGTCTGTATACTATTTAATTCAGCAGTTTTTACAGCAACAAATACTGTGTGTGGCCGTAGGAAAGTGCCAGAGAATGTTTATTTAGATGAAAGGGAACTGAGTTGTAACAACAATACCTTTGCAGGGTGTCTAAATGGAAAAGGAAATACTTACTCCTTGTTTTTTATTAATGCGATTTTAAATATTTCTCAAGATAAATTTTCAGCATTATTCTGGTCACAGAATGGAGATACTGAACGCAAGTATGAGCCGAATTAGATGAGTGCCCCAGTCCCCTTGAACTGTAGGTGAGGAATTCTGATTTCTGTGCCGCTGCCCCTATCCCTACCCCTATAAGCCTCTAGTTATTTTTACCCTCTTCTTGTTTCTGTGTGATTTTTGCTTTCATGGACCACAGCAACCAGTGTCCTGAAGGAAGAGAAAATGTCTCTGTTGTTTTGAAAGTTGCTTGTGAAGGTAGGGGCTTCAGACCTCAGACCAACTCCAAAATGCTTAGTCAGGCCCTATGTAGGGGTAAAACTCTGAAACAAAGCTTCTTCGAGTTGCCTACAGATTCCACTGTTTTCCTCATCATCAGCCAAGACACTACACTAAGTTTCTTTATGTTTTTCTTTCTTGCCCATGAAATTACCTACAGCAAAAGCTGCAAAATGAAAGTCTACAAACCAAAATAATTCTGCATGTGGATTATGTTCAGTTTTCATACAGGGTTTTTTTTTTTTTAAGGAATTGAGTTGATTTTGAATATTTATATATCTAGAGATACCACTTAAAATCAGTATTGAAGGCTTCCTTAAAAGAAAACAAAATTAAGCATATTGGGACACTGGGCTTACCTTCCTCCAGGGTGGCTGGTGCCTAATGCTGAATAGCAGTCTCCCCTTTGTGTGAGATGCATACCTTCCTCTTTGCCACAGATCCTTCCAACCCCCAGTGTCCCCACAGCAAGATTGGGTGTCAACTTTCATTTGTTGTAATGTTGGGTTGTTGTCTTCTTATAGTCAAGTTCAGAGGAAAGCAAAATAGTTCCTTTATCTACATTTCTACCAAATGTGACCAAACAGAAGATATATTGCAAGCATATATTTCACTCATGTGTCAGTGATCAATCCAAGTACTTGGGAGACAGCAGGGTATATGGAAAAGATGTACATATGGAATTTATACTCAAGTGGGGACTTATAGACAGTAAACTATATTTATAAACAATGAGCAATTTAATAATTAAGATAATTTGAGGGAACAGAAGAATGTTATAACGGAGATAAAATAGAATAATGTGGAGTGAACAAAAGGGGGAAAGTAGAGGGGCGCCTGGGTGGCGCAGTCGGTTAAGCGTCCGACTTCAGCCAGGTCACGATCTCGCGGTCCGTGAGTTCAAGCCCCGCGTCAGGCTCTGGGCTGATGGCTCGGAGCCTGGAGCCTGTTTCCGATTCTGTGTCTCCCTCTCTCTCTGCCCCTCCCCCGTTCATGCTCTGTCTCTCTCTGTCCCAAAAATAAATAAAAAACGTTGAAAAAAAATTAAAAAAAGAAAAAGGGGGAGGTAGAGGGGACGATGTCAGAAAGGGAGGTAAGAGACAGATCAAGAAGCAACTTGCCAGGACAGAGTTTGGATTACATTATAAGTGCGGTGAACAGCCACTGTGGAGTTTTCAGCAGGCGCAAACAGACATAATTTGCTCTTTGAAAGATCATTGTGGCTGTGACGGGAGAAATGACTCTCGGGGAGCACAGGCAATCAGACAGTCCAGGGAGATAGGGTGGGGGTGGTGATTGGTGCTACTGCTCTAGAATGGCGGATGGTGAGAGACGTTCAGATTTAAGGTATGTTTTGGAGGTAGTGGCAACAAAGCTTAATGCTGGATTGAATTTGGGGTGTGCAAGAAAGAGAAAGATGAAAATGAATTTTGGGCCTGAGTGACTGGATGGGAGAGATGGGGAATGCTGAAATGGGGTTGGAGCTGGGGCTGCTGGAGAAGCAGATTTGGCAGACAGTGGCAACACTGTCATTCCAGCCATATTGCGACAGGGAGGATTGTAATGCCCCGAAGTGTAGCTGTTGAGTAGGCAGTAGGATATCAGAGCACGAAATCTAAGAAGAGGTTTGGTCTGGGGGAATTTGGTGGCTGGGATTGAGGGAGATTACCTAGGAAGGGTGTAAATAAAGAAGAGAGAAAAGAAAAGGGTGGAGAAAACAGCCTCGGCTCATCCCAACGCTTAAATTGGAAGAGGACAAAGATGCGTGAAAGGTGGTTGAGAAGGAAGGTACACTAGGATAGAAGGAAAACAACTTGAGGACAGTTTTCCTGAGACTGAGGTAAGAGACTATTTCAAAAAGGAGAGATCAACCCAGTCATATGCTACTGAGAAGTCAAATAAAGGTGACTGAACATTGATCATTGCCTTTGGCAAGATGTAGTTTTTTGGTGCAATGATTGAGCTATTTCAGTGGTATGGGGGGTAGAAAAGCCTAGAAGTAGGTTGAGAAGGTGATATTAGGGAACAACATCGAGGGGAAGTATTAACCGTTATTTTGAAGGGTTTTGATGTTAAGAACAACAGAGAAACGTAATTGTATCTGGAGGGCAATTTGGAGTTTCAGAAGCACATTGGTGTGCTGATTGGAGTGGTCCTTTAGAGAGGAGATGTATAAAATAGAAGCTCACATCCATACCAAGTAAGATGGGATGGAGGCAGGGTAAGTGGAGGGTTTGTACTGAAATCAGAACTTGCATCTTCCATTTACTAAGATGTCAAAAAAGTGATTCAGATGCTAGTGGGTTAATAGGCTGGTCCTGTGAAAATGAGGTAGCTTTCTTTGCAGTACCGTTCTTTTCTTTCTGGAGATGATCAGCTGACAGTGGTGATTAGTCCTTCAAGCTGTGAGAAGAAAAAAAAAGTGTGAAACAGCCATCTTGCTGTGTGGGAGAATGAATTCAGTAGAGAGATGCAATGACATCATTGAGCAGTATTGAGTGACCATTTGAAATATGTGGTCATAAATAGGGAATGATTCCTGTCAATAGAGTTGTATGATTTCAATCCAGTAACATTCAATAATTCATGTACAGGAATGGAATGAATGGTATATTTCACCAAGACTGGGTCCTTGATAGACAAGCACAGTAGAGGGAAGGAGGGCCAGAGGACATGAGTGTCTGTGCTAGAGCATTGATAGTGCTGAGACATGGAATCTAAGCTGAATTACTGAAGGAATAAAGGCATATGGGGAAGAATTGAAAGTACAAAGTCACCATTGATTTTGTATCCTGCGACTTTGCTGAATTCATGCTAAGTGAAATAAGCCATACAGAGAAAGACAGATACCATATGTTTTCACTCTTATGTGGATCATGAGAAACTTAACAGGAACCCATGGGGGAGGGGAAGGAAAAAAAAAAGAGAGAGAGAGAGGTTAGAGTGGGACAGAGCCAAAGCATAAGAGACTCTTAAAAACTGAGAACAAACTGAGGGCTGATGGGGGATGGGAGGGAGGGGAGTGTGGGTGATGGGTATTGAAGA